TGCTCATGTGGATTTGCCTGAGCTATCACACCTTTGCTTTTCGCAGACAGTTTTTCTACACTTCCTGGAGTAGCAAAAGGACTCCCAACCTGTCATTTTTCACATGGAGCTGGGTAGCTCACAGGGACAGGCAAAGTCTTTGAACCTCACCTATACTCACCTAGGTGCAGTTCAAATGTTACCTTTAGTTTGAAGAAAAACAGAAAGCATTGGCCTTGGTGTTTTTTGGAGAAAGAAAAGTATAAAACACAAACCTTAGAAAATGGTCACGCCCTTAAAAACACACACACACACACACACACACACACACACGCTTAAGGAGAGACACAGAGAGATGACACTAAGGGAGGGCACAGACAGCAGCATAAGGCAAGACATCTTTCAGTTTTCCAATTTTCTTCTTTTGATATCTATCAGTATTAGAGAAACACTGTTCCTCTACACTGCTTTTCTATGCTAGGATTTAGACCCCGCACCTGTACTTGTCACAAGTCCCTCTCTGCAGCAGAGCATGAACAGGCCAAAAAGATGCAACAGAGAAGAAGGCACGCTGTCCTCCTTGCCAATGTAATCACTGGACTGATATTTCCCTACTTAGTTCCCCTGAGACACAGAAATCTGGTCTCTGTGTTAAGATCTTAAACACATTTTTGATTTCTGAAACGTTACCCATTCATTCTCATCTGATCCCTTAGTCACTTCAAACCCAATTCTGTGCTTGACACTACACCAACCAAAACCACTGCGTATTGGAAGCAACCCAGTTTTCCCTCTTACAGCTTTTTAACCCTAGGAAAACATGCAAGCCCCAAGGAGTAACTGATGAGCTAAGATGACACATCTGTGTGTTTTCTATGCAATAGCTGGCCCAAAGCAGGGAATCCGAAACCCACACCAATAATGTCAAGACCTGCCAAAGCAAGCAGGTGACCTACTTTCTCAATTGTGCTCAGTTCCTTTCTTTGCAGCAGAGACCCCCTCTGATACTATAGTCTGCCAACATACACAGAACAGCAAGTCCTAAAACTTAAGCAATAAATTAAGATTTTTTCCAACTGGGAAACAGCCTTTTCTGCTATGTTGGTTATAAAAGCCCTACAGCAATAGCTGTGAAAATGTGTCCATGAAGAGATTAGGCTTACTGAAGGTTAGCCAAATATCCTCTTTATTCCTCAGGTTCAACACACTGCTTTAACTACCATCTATAAATATTAATGCATGACAAACAAAAGTAAAAGCAGCTAGTTTGCTAACATTATTAAAATAATTCAACAAGAAACAAAAATTGCAACAGATGAATAAGGTGCGTGCATACTTGGTCGATTAAACAGAATATATGAAACATGTCCAATGGGTGCCTAGTGCCCGTGATAAACCATGGGGCATTTATGAATCTCAGGTGTGTACACACCTCCCCACACACATCCACAAAATAAAGCCTCAAATCAACCAAGCTAAATATTTATTTCTAAAATTAGAAATAAGTAAAAATTAAACGAGTAAGAATTGATCTTCGGGTTCCATATGCCATTTGTTATAGCTAGCGGGTCATTTAAACCAATGAAGGGAAGGGAGCTGCCCTGTCTCAGACGTTACAACTGTAGAAACACAATCCATGTATAGTTTTTTTCACTGCTCTCATAAAACAGGCAATTATTGACCACACTCAATACAGTGTTTGATGCACTGCATTTTCCATTTCATTTCCTTACACTATTTCCTATGAGAACTCAAGTAAAAGGACAGTAATTTGGATCTAAACTTCTAAAGAGGTGAATTTTCAATTAATCCTCTTTTGAGGAAATTAATTGGTCAAAGGGCTGAAACTGTTTCAGTAAAATCTCCATGAGGACTTCAACCAAGCATGCAAGAAGCACAAAAGATCCTAAATTAGCCATAGTTGAACCTTCTCTGGAAAAGTATGTAAAAATGCAATTAATAAATGCCTACACACCAGGAAGAAAGACCCCTTAAATGACTGGGCATTACCAATAGCATAAAAAAAGAAGATGCAACATCTCCTTCAGGAGCAGTGATCCTCCGGCACCTCCTACACTGCTTCCGCTGCTCTGCCCTTCCCGATACCAGAGCAAGGAAATGGGAAGGTGCAGAGTGCCAGGGTTCAGAGAGAAGAGGAAGAGGCACTTTTTGTGATGTGGTAACGGCCTCTTATGCCTGTGGTCACTACTAGAAAACTGGACTGTGCATGTCCTGGACTCAGTAAGAAAACACCCAGGCTGCCTATACACGCGTTCAGGGGTGAGGGGAGGCAGGAGAGGGGTGGGAGGGTGCATTTTACTTAAAGCAGTTCCCAGACAGCCACTGTAATTAAAATAGCTCACTGGTCACATGTATTAAGCCCCCACATGTTTAAAAACAGCTGCAGCATGCTTTATCTAAACCTCATTTTGACAAGGCTTAGGTAATGAACCCCCCTGGCCATTTTAAAATATACAGGGGCTTAAATACATGCAACGGTGGAACAACACTGAAGCGTTCTAATTAGAACATGAACGAGAATGTGTATAGGAAGCCCCAATGACCAAGTCTGGCCCACAAAGAGGTCAGATCCAGCCTGCAGAGATCTGTTTCAAGAAGCTGCACCTTGCTGCCTCTCTGCCCTGCAGCACTCTCTTCTGCTGCAAAGCAGGCTCTGCAGTGGTTGAGCTTACCCTTGCTGCAGAGGCACTGGGAATCAGGCAACCAGCCACTCAGAAGGGAAGGATGGGGCAGGGGCTTCTGTCCTGCAGCAACAGCCATGTTGTAAGCTCAGCCTGTCCCAGCAAAAGACTGCCAACCCTTGCTCTAAAATTATAGGTTTGCATATCTATAGATGAATCTAGTAAAAATTCACAAAGTGGCCAGGCAGATTTTTACAGAACAGGGGGGACAAATAGGTACTACAGCAGACTGAACCTCTACAATAGTCAGATAAACGATCATTGAACTTCTAACTTAAGAGGCACAGAACACAATAATTAGGTCCATACCATTCATTGGTTATTTACACTCACATAACAGCCTAATACTCACATTAATAAAGGCAACTCAAACCACCTACTAAATCTCCAACTACTATGAATTTGTATTAAATTTCTTTAAATTTTGCCCTTCTCTTTTCTTGGAGAAGAGTTTTCTAATAGCACATACAATATTGGTAATGGGATTATATTTCCTTTTCCATTTTTATATATGCTGTGCAGTTTGTCTTGTAAATAAAGTGTCAGTGTCATCACTTGATATACTTTGTTTGCATAATATCTGAAGGTACATCTCAGAATCAGTAGCTTTAATAGATAAATAGTATGGATTCATTTGCATTCAGACTCAACCACGGGACACATGGAAAAGGGGTATCCTAACCCAAAAGGTTCCAAGGGTTTTTTTGGTCACACAGGTAAACAAAGCAGCCAAAATAGTAAGGAATCCAAGAAGGGGCCAATTAAAATTTTAATTATAGAAATATTTATACATATAAGAAGGCGGCCTCAGTATGTGACAGACTGCTGTTTAGAACAGAAAGTGTTAACGACACTAAGCATAAGAAAGGCTGCTTGCATACACGAAAAAAATAAAAACAAAAAATGGCACTCTACTTCAAACTTGCACGCTTCCACGCCAAGCTCAGCGCATGCCCAGAACAGGCAGTGTGTTAGCTGCACCCGGCTTTTCCAACGTGTATAGACTGGGTGTTTTAAAGGGGTCTTCTTGGTACTTTTACCTAACAGCTAACTGAATCAGCTTTAGATAAAAGCACCAAAAAGGCCTGCTGAAGTGCCTGATTTATACAGACACTGCGGAGCTGTGTTAAAGTAACTTGCCGCTTCTGGTAAGGCACGTTTTTGGGGGGTTTTTTGTTCCGCTGCATCCATCAGCGCCCAGAATGCAGTAACTGATGCAAGTATACCAGTAAACATGCAATTTGTCTCAACAAGTTATGTTTTCCTGTAATATGTGCGAAACATTTAACTTGAAGAGTTAAAGTTCAAAGGTTGATTTTAATAAAAGACAATTTATTGTACCTTAATACTATTCCCATAATTATATGTAAATCAGCAAGAGAGACAAATGGCAGGCTTAGTTACATGCAAAAAAATATGTAAGTTGGCACATTTGTCCTAATGCAATATGAAATCATTGTCTGCAAATTTAAAAATCGTAATTATAATCCACAACCAAAATCAAGATATGCAATCAGTTTCTGTGGGATTTTGTGCACACCAAATATTTAAGTAAATTCCTTGAGAAAGTTCCTTAAGATCTAATACCTTAAGTCCAATCCTAAGACCCATTCTTTTAATATTTCTTATACACTTAATCCAGACAAAACAAACAAAAGTTTAGTTAAACTTCACACCAGACAAGATGAAACATTTATTGAAATATGTCAAATTGATCTGCTAAACATGCCATGAAGATTCTTGAACTCAGAAAAAAAAAAAACAACCTGGTTCGCTAGCTTCAGTGTTGCTGAACTCTTTAATGAAATCTTATTTGTAGCAAGCCTGTACAAATTCAGTGCTGTATTATCATCTGATTATCTTGCTTACTGCCCCTACTTCTCTTAAATGGCAATTGTCAAGACCCTCACTTTGACTGCTTTTGAGACTGCCTGATAATTCAATGTTTTCAAGAAATAAGATACTGTAAGTGCTACCATATAAACCTGATCAGGAGAGATGTAAGTCTCAGGTTTTCTTACATGAAATGAACTGTATGGGTCATAGGAAATCTGAAACTGTTAGTAGAGTACAAAGATTTGGCAACTTTTTATATACTTGAAAGTTAATTATTTTAAAGGAAGGAAGAGGCATAAGTTCTTGGGATAAATGAATTCTAAATAATATGATTTTTCTGTACAGTCTATTTTAAACATGGGATCATGGCAATGATTCTTTTAAGGAGTCATGGTTTCTTACACCAGGCCCAGTAATTAACAGAGAAATATAAAAATAATTATACAATTAAGTGTCCTAAAGAGTAAAGTTAAGCTAACTTACCAAGTTGTGGGACTGAGGAAAAGCATACTTTGTAAGGACTTCAAATATATCTCTTCTACTATGACCTTCTTGTTTCAGTGCAAACCGTAGATTTCTCATATCCTAAGATGAGAAAAATTACTTTTTTAAAAATCATTAAGGTACTTTGCAAGTACATTCTGAATAATTTCTACATAATGTATGCAAAAGATGCAAAACCATTCAGTTTAGGCCCTCCACCCTACACTATGGGTTACGAATTCTTTATTTGTAAATAAGAAATTTTATAAGATGATAGCTAACATGTAATAGGAAGGAAGAGTTTTACCCAAATACATGCTGCTGCTCTTCCTCTACTTTGGCTGTAAGCCATAAGAAGTGACAGTTTTTGATTCACTAGCAAGTCTCATGGGTTACTGAATACGTGTGGGTTGGGAGTTACTCTGTGCTTCCAATGCGAATACTCTGCCAACAATCTGTCTAGACTACATTGTCCCCAGCCATTTTCTCTTGACTAACATTGAAATTAAGAAATCTGCACATGTAACTGCTGAGAACAAAGTCTGTGGCATAGATATTCCATTCCAGGCTTACACAAAGCAAAAAAATCCTCCTAAAACCATGTTTTCTGTAGCATTCTGTATAGCCAACATTCTTAAGAGGAAAAAAAAAGTTTTGCAAGTCAGTATATGCCTCTAAAGATAAAGGCCCCTTTACTGTCAATAAAAGTTAATACAGTAACTATGCGACCCTTTTTAAAAGGTACTTGATGGGTCTTTTAAAAAATATGCAATAACAGACAACTGACTTTTAGGGTCCATAAAATAAAAGAATTATAGGTACAAGGAGTGATTAAAGCCCAAATAGCCCCAAACTATACAAAATACAAAATCTTTTGCCTAATGTAACAAAACACTATTCAACTCATCTGGACACAACAGAAGTACCTTTTTCTTGGACAATTCAAAAAAGCTGCCTGTAAGATTCTTCTTGCAGGATGAGCAAAAAAGGCAATTTGGGCCTTACATACATTTAATCTGTACTACTACAGATTCAGGCAAGCAAGCAGCAAAAAGAGAAAAAAAATCTCTTGGATCTAATGCAGTTGAGTCTAATTCTAGAAAATATAAATGAAGGGCATAAGTAAGAAGTATGACATCTCCCTTTATTGAATTCTTGCAAGTCTTACTTTACAAGTTATATCTAGTCCATAGGAATTCTCGCCTCTACTTGAAGCTCCTCCCATTTTTTCAATCCTTGAAATTACACCCAAAGGAACATCCAGTATTACAACTGACTCCTGCAGGGAAGAAATAAATATGAAAATATTGTACCTTAGTTTCACACAGAATTGAGTTGCGATTAAAAGTAAGGAAGACAAAAAAAGGTGTTTCTTGCTTTAACCTTTCAATGTGAAGCCCACACTGACTTGATGACATCCTCCCTTCTCCAGTATCACTACATCATTGCATATCAATTACAAACTAAGAAACTAAAACTTCAAGATGTTTAATCAGGAGAACGTTTTTAATTTGTCCAGGTGTAATATAGTTATTGTTATCAAAAGACTATTCACCAAATTTTGCTCCTGAACATGTGCATGTCAGACAGCAATTCACTAGGAAAGTGAAATGAGATTGTCAGATACGTTAGCAGAGGTGTATATCCTATAAGTCAACTAAAAAGCTACATAGCAGCTCAACCTAATCTTTAAAATAAACAGCTGGACAGATACTTGAGAAAAGTAAAACTAACATATAGTTTTCATCTTAGAGGCACAAACTAAGGGAATTTCACCTGACGGTGGTAGCTCTTTATTTATTAAGATTTTTACAATTAATCACATAATTATTAAACCCTGGAACTGTTTAGCTATATTAATTGAAACCACTCTAGGCTAACACACAACCTTATGATAGAAAAATAAACTTAATATCTTTTCATTAAATCTGCTAAAGAAATGTTACTCCTCTATTCACAGTTTAAAAAATACTGTTTTATAAATTAACATAGCAGAGCAATACACCCATCATTTCTGTACTAAATACTGCCAAGCTTTCACCATCAAATTAAACAGGTAAGATCACAATCTCTGTTCAGGAACTTAAAACCTTAAATTTGATAACAAGTTATGCAAAAGAGCAGCCTATGAATTTTATACTGCTTCACCCACCTATATTTTCTGCAACAAGGGTGGGCAATCTGCAGCACAAGTGCCACGTGCAACAATCTTTTTTGACATTGCAGATCTAGCAGGGAGCAGGAAGAATAGTGGCAGATAGGAGAAATCATAGCAATGGATCAGACAAGGGAAGGGGAATCAGAGTGCTACTGGAAGGGGCAGGGCTTACCTTGTGGCACGCCTGCCAAAAAGACTGGCCCCCACTGTTCTATAACAGCCACCGCTATTCAATAGGGCAAGATAATTCTAATTATCCTTAAATGTTACTAGTCTTCAAATCATTCCATTTTCATGCTATTTCTCTCTGCCTAATTGTAGTTACAATGAAAATCTTGTTTTAGTAGAAAATTGTAACTGTTTCAAATCACAAGAGTAACAATGGGAAGTTATTGTCGTATCATCTATGTTACTAGATGATACCCCAAAAAATACCGAGAAGTATAAGCCAGTCACTGAAGTTCAGCGCATTTACTCACGTGTTAACAATAATTAAAATGAATAACTTTTACTTTTGGAGGATTACTCAGTGGCAGAGAAGGCAATTATTGTTTCAAGTATTACACACTGCTTTGAAGTCTCCCATGCAGTTCCATCAATGTCTCTCTGTGGGGCAGGGGGCCAAAGTTGAACAGAGTGAAATAAGAAAAGTGACCAAAATTGGAACCAAATGCAATTGGGTTTATTTTTTATGGGGTTAATTTTGGTTAAGATTTGCCTTTGAGACTACTTTGAAAGCAATTTGTTTCGTGTAAGCCAATTAAGCAACCACTGATTAGCAACCGCACAGACCTAAGCAAGTTTGTAGTCAGGTGACAGACAACTGTATCTCACTGCCATCCCCAGTTATGCAGAGCGGATGTGTGTGTAAACACTTTCACAATTACTCACTGTTTCCACACTTCTTAAGTAGAGCCTATAATTTGTGATGTACACTCTTCCTTTAATGGGACCATTGAATGGACACATGTAGATAACTTCTTTATCTATAAAAGAAACACAGTATTAACTTCTAATTAATATTTAAGATAAAGGGCAATATTGGTAAACAGCAAGATAAGAGCAACTATTCTCATAAGAAGAGAGATTGGCAGGCAGGAAAACTTTAGTCACAAATTTAAAACATTGTCCATTTGAAATCCAATCTTCTAGGGCGAAAAAAACAACCATGAAAAGTTTCAGACTCCATATTTGCCCCAATTCTACTAGTTGATTTCCACAGAATTATGCTTACATTTGTGATTTAAATTTCTTGTGGCTATGTGAGAAGTGACTGACTTTTAATTGTTCTTATGGCTACTGAACTGTTCTACTTTCAAGTTTCACAGTGAAAACATTCTAAAATATTAACTGGTTTATCTTGCAACACGCTGCCTTCTTCCAAGTTCAAATCTAGATCTCTTGTAAGGTTGGAAGGAGACTCATTAATGAGTTCCACTAACAAACCCTATTTGGTTCTGCTCACCAGAACAAAACTAAAAAACAAAAACCCACCCTGGTCATAAATCAGACCATAATGCAAGTAGCTAGACCCCAAAACACACACTAGAACACAGCAGTACCAACCCTAATAAGCCTTGGTGTACAGCATAAAAAAAACCTACATAGATAGCAAATTGTTCTTAAAGAGATTCTACTATAAAATTTTTCTGAGGTTTCACTTTAGCTGTTATAACTGTTTCCATTAAAAAGATTTAGTTATACTTTTCTCCCTACTTATTCCTCTGCCCTTACATCCTGGTCCATTACCCCCATCCAGTATCCCTACTCCTTCCACAGTACCCTCAATATAGGGGAAGTCAGGAGGACTATGCCTGTTGCCCCTCCAGCAGACTTCATTTGCCCACATTAAGAAACCCAGGAAATCCCCCATAAACAACAGCTTTGTTTAAAAAAAAGCTAAAGTTGCTCATATGTAATGCCCATCCAATGCATCCCTTGAAGCAAAGAACATCAAACTAGAAAGACCTCTTACGTGCACCTGAACACCCACATAGCACATTTCCACTGACAGTAGCAGACTCCACAGAGAGCAGCCGTCTGTCGCCAACAGATAAGGCAGCCCTGCACACAATACATTAATCTTCCTCATACGGGGACACAAAACTAACAGTCTCCTATTTCTCTAACACAACACCACACACTTAACCAGTGTACTCTTACTAATCCTGACTTGTTAGTGTTGCCAAGGTAGCACATTACTATAGGAGAGATTGATGTGTTATGTGCAGTGTGTTTCATTATCTACTGGAAGCATAAGCAAACTGGGGAGTCTTGTCACCAGACATGTGCTACATGTGCAGTAAATTATGATTAATAAGCAACTCTTAATGGGGCATTTCCTTGTATGTGAGAGTTTGCCTTGGATTAAATGTTACATAACACTGATTGGCTTTAAAAAAATGTTAGTGTTTTTTCCCATAAATAAGCTTTCCCTAGTAGCCCAACCCAATTATGCAACACTGCAGGGGTAAATCTACACGTAGGTGGGCAGACTTCCCCTTCAACATACAGTATTCTAGATGGCTCAATGATAACCTTATACCTGTAATTCTGGTTTCTCCTGGTAGACGAGGTATTTCCTCATTTTGTTCCCAGTTAGTTCCATCTTTTGGGGTCTAAAGAAAAAATTGCATCAAAACTGGAAGGCTCTTCACTGGACACCATCACTTCAAATCATACTGGTGCAAACTTTCATAAAAATATAGAAGTCAGTAAACGAAGAAAGGATTTTAAGGGCAGGAATTGATAAAAAATACAAGGAAAGAAGGACAAAAGTAAAGGTTTTTTGGCTGTGTGTGTTACTAAAGAAACATTAAAAATAAACTTCACCTTTAATCTGAATATAAATTTCTATAGCACCAAGACAGAGCAAGGTGTGTATGTATATAGCCCTTAACTTGTAATTGAATAGAGGAGTTTCTCTCTCAAACTGAGCCAGCTATATGTAGCTAGATGTAACTTGTTTGGTTATGCTAGGGATTTTTCTTCTTAAAAACACCTAAATAATAACAAAATAGCATTTTGCAATATTAGAAGTGAATAATTATGTAAACATACACCAGGAAGGACTGTAAGGTACTAGATTACAAAAAAAACAAACAAACCATACCAAACAAATAAAACCTTTGAGATAAAATCCTCTGATCTACCAACCTGTGAACAACAGTCTTACAACTCTGAACAATGGATTGTATTTAAATTATGACAATAAAGTAATTAAATTTTCTTCTGGACTGCATAACTCAAGATAAATACAGTTTTGGGCTCAAGAACATGAAAAGCTAATGCCCCCAAGTCATGCGATTAAGAGTGAAAAAAGAAACGACACTCACCCTTTTAACTGAGGAGCTTTCCAGGGAGTTGGAATTATATTTAGGTGTTGATGATGAAGCCATACTGGGGATCTGATGAGAAAGCAGATATTGGAGACAAATTTCAGTTAGACTGGATACATCAGAACACAGCTCTCCAGTCTGCAAAAAAGGGGAGTTAAGATTTTGAAATGCCTAAAAATCAAATGCTTTTACACAATTAGAAGGCAGGGTAGATTCGTACTTTACAGACTAAATCAGAGAAATTTAAGCTTTTGTAAGCAGTGGCTTACTTCATCAGATGCTGTGAAGGGACTGAAGAACAGCACCTCTACTCAGATAATCATATTTTTAAAGCAACCGAGTACAACAGGTCTCACTCCCAGCTATTCTTTCCCCTCCCCCTTCAGATCACACACTGGGATTCTTCACGTTAAGTTTTACATGTTTAAAATCCTATGGAGTTTTGGAGTCAACAAAAGTCATAATACTAAAATAACGAGTTCTGTCACATACAGACACAGCTTAGGAACCCAGTTTACTTGGAATATTTATTTACATTAAAAAACCCCAAACTTTAATTTAGGCAAAATGGTGACAAAATTAAAAGGAATTACAGCTTGTAACTGTAACATTAGTGTACTCAGAACAGTTTTAGGGAAGCTAAGAGAAACAGTGAGAAGACCAGGGGAAAAAAATCTGAGTTTATAAGCACTTTTAAGAGTTAAACAATGAAACTTCAATGAACCCAACAGCAGAGGGCGTTTGCTACCATTTTCTTGATCTCTATAGCCTTGATGTATTGAAATGAAGAGGCAGTTTTTTATTCCAAGTTCAAAAAGCTGCTTTTGATTAAACACTGAACTACACTATTCCGGATTAGCAAGCAAGTAAGCTTCAGCCCGTTTGCTGATTTTGCTTTATGAGCAGAGGCACAAGTCTGTTTTCCAGAAATGACTGCCAGTTATACTTCTTTTTCATTAGCAGGATACTCTTCATCCAGCTCACTTACTGATTTGCAGCAGCCTTGTGAAAAGTTCTGTGGTGCCATTTGATTTAAACCAACAAGTAGTGCAAGATCTTTCTTATTGCAATCCCAACTGAAAAGACTACATTTAGGAATAAGCACCGTTGCCTTTTTCCTTCAGAATTTTGTAAATCTCTCTGTATACAATGTACCAAGTGGTGAGTCTACCTTTGCTCCTATACAACAGTATGAACAGACAGTAGTACTAACAACCATATTGAACTGTAAAACCAAACTTGCTCTGAAACCCCTGGGTTGTTCAAGGAAGTGTTTCAGTGTTAGGGAGGGTTTTTTTTATAATTTTTATTTTGTAGTTGGTCTGTGTAATGAGTGCATAACAGCAAGGCAAATGTGAGTATCCCAATATTCAATTTACTTCAGTCTGCTTCTGATATCCTGCCATGACCCAGCCTAGCAAATATAGCAGAAAGCAGAAACACCCCTTTAGAGAACAGCACAAATCTATTTATATTCCAACTGGAAACATGAGCAATAAAGAATATGCGATGCAGCACATTAAGTTGCTAGGCTGACCGTCATACTGAAGCATCACTTCCTGTCTAGATCTTTTTCAGGCTAAACTTTCTCCAAAAATTTACCTTTATTGCAGCTTAGGAGCTTGGGCTCAGCTAGCTGAATGTAGCTTTGATTTTCACTAGAATTCAAAATAATCCTTATTTTTGCACTCAAGAAACTGATTTGCTTTAAAAACAACTCACGGAGTCCCAAACAGCAACTAGTGCTTTTGCCATATTTCATATGCAGTCACCTGCATTGTGGTATCCCCTTTCTGCTGCCTATATTAAAAGGATCCTCTACACATAGCAATAGGGAATCTAGTTTTATCAATTTTATAGGCTCAGACAAAAAAACAAGTTTCACAATTTTTACACTACATTTTTCAGAGTACAGGAAATTCTGAACAAATGTAATGTTTTCCTTGGTTGTAATGCTAACTTGTGTCACCTGTATGTATTTGAACACCAAATATTCAAGTGGTTGAAGAATTAATTTCTTTGAATGCTGAAGCTGTCCTTTATGTTGAAGAGTTTTTTTGTATTTGTTCTTGGCTTGAGTTCTGTTTTAATTATAATAAAGTGAAAGTACTCAGTCACCATATATTCACTAATATTCAGGTATATTTACTGAAATATTCATTTTTTAAATATCCTTTTGTGGAAACACATTTTAAAAAAATAAAAATAAATGCCCTAGTAGAATGGAGAACAGTTACAAAAAATGGATAATGTGTACCCTGCATGTGAGGATGTGAGTGCAGCATATGTTGGACATACTAGCAAAACGAGAACTATATCGTTCAGGTATCAACAGCAGTCAAGCCACAGTGGAATGGGCTGCAGTACAGGCAGATCACCAGGATCCCAAGTACCTCCCTAGCCCAGAGTGGAGGGCCGCTTAGTGAGTTTTGGCGAGCTGTCAAAGGCTGCAAGGCCTGCCCTTGACAGGTGCCCCGCCCCGCCCCCCCGGTCACCATCTTGAGACTGGACGTTCCACCCCCTAATCCCTGACCTTTGCCACCAGAAGTCCCTCCCCTTTCCCCTAGAAGTACTCTTCTTGCAATGGGCATTGCCATCTTGGAACTGGAAATAAAACCCAAATTATATACTAAAAATGAAACGCTGACAATTGTATATTTTAACTTATTTTTTAAAATATTTTTGTCCCGATTTGTGCGTTTGTGTGGTATATATAGCGGTGATTGCATAGTAGCTCAA